GTGCTAGATTTAAATATAGAAGAACCTTCCAGGGTAGCCATTTCTGTACATAAAGGAACACCTACTCACCCCAACGAGTAGTACTTTAGAATAGTGGTTCTCAAATGAGCTGCATCAGGATCACCTAGGGGGCTTGTTCAAATACTGATTGCTGGCCCCTACCCACAGAGTTTCTTATATAGTAGGTCTGGAATATAGCCAGAGAAATGACATTTATTTTCTTTATTTTTTCCTTTTTTGAGACAGAGTTTTGCTCTTGTAGCCTAGGCTGGAGAGCAATGGCAGCGATCTTGGCTCGCTGTAGCCTCCACCTCCTGGGTTCAAGTGATTCTCCTGTCTCAGCCTCCCGAGTAGCTGGGATTATAGGCGCCCGTCGCCACGCCACTACTATTTTTAGTAGAGATGGGGTTTCACCATATTGGCCAGGCTAGTTGCGAACTCCTGATCTCAGGTGATCCAACCGCCTTGGCCTCCCAAAGTGCTGGGATTGCAGACGTGAGCCACCGCACCTGGCAAGAACTGACATTTCTACCAAGTTCCCAGAGGACATTGCTGCAGCTCTGGAGGTCATACTTTGAGAGCTATTGCCAAAAGTATAAAGTAAATTTATTTAAATGATGTTGAATCTGTTCTTCAAGAGAAAAACATTAGCTCCCGTCCAGGGAAACACCACAATTTTCTGCCTTAGGATAAAGGAGTGCATGATATTCATTATAAAACTAGACTTCAGAAATACGGGTCCCATTTTTCTATATTCTAGACCCTGGTCATAATGTGTAAAGTATTAACACTAACAGATTTTCCTGGCCTATGTTCTTTGTTTGTACTGATCCTATTTTTCTACTGAAAATTATTTTAGATAAAGAGTATGAAGGTTTGTCGTGATTAGTTGGAGTTCCACTGTAAGTACTTAGGAGAGTAAATATTACAGGTATCACAGAGATTAGGAGCAAATATTGAGGCTAAATTTAAGACTCGGGGGGAAGTTCTTATAGAACAAAACAAAGCCTTAAATAAACCTTTTTTTCTAGGTGTAGTTTTCAGTAGCAGCGATTGCCTATATAAAAAACTCTTGGGTTCCTTATATCAAGGTAAAAAAAAAAAAAAATCTGACATCTATAATGTCCTGTTATAGACTGCACAAAAAGTATACATAACCAGGATCAGTACCAACTGGAACCAGAAATGTGAAAGTTGGTATTCAGGTCAGTTAAAGAGAGAAGAAAGACAGTCACCTTTGGCCAAGGTAGTTAAGGAATCCCTGTAGTTCTACTGGCAGGGAGACCAGCCTGAATTCTAATGCTCTGTCTTCAGACCACAGTCTGGGCTCCTGATTTGTATCTACTACCCTCCATGGAAATCGCTGGTGAAGTAAAACTATGTGTGTAAAACTGCATCTGCCACAGGCTGCTTGTCCACAAAAGCATCAAAGCATCTCTATGGAATACCTCTGTATGGGTCTGTAAAGAAGAGTCCCACTTCGATCAAAGACAGCAGATTATGAGGTAAGATACCAAGTGCAGTTTTTAAGATTCCATACTGACAAGCTTCTGTTGTTTTTAAAAAAAGTTTTGGGTGTTGATACAGAAGTTAATGCTTAAATAGATAATGCTCTCCCTCTACTGACATGCTTCATCATGTTACTTATTCTCTTCTCTCAAAAATACACGACGTCAGCCGGGCGCGGTGGCTCAAGCCTGTAATCCCAGCATTTTGGGAGGCTGAGACGGGTGGCTAAAAAATACGGAAAAATAGCCGGGCGAGGTGGCGGGCGCCTGTAGTCCCAGCTACTCGGGAGGCTGAGGCAGGAGAATGGCGTGAACTCGGGAGGCGGAGCTTGCAGTGAGCTGAGATCTGGCCACTGCACTCCAGCCTGGGCAACAGAGCGAGACTCCGTCTCAAAAAAAAAAAAAAAAAAAAAAAAAAAATACACGACGTCATTTAATCTTCACAATAACCTTGTAAGATAGGATCACCTCTATTTCACTTCTGGAAGATGTTAAGAAAAGTTAATTATTTGACAAAAGTTGTAATTAGCAAATGGCAAGCACTCCAACCCAACTTCTGACTCCAAAGTCAGTGTTTTTACTATTCTACTCTGATTGCTGAGTTCTAATTTTTATTTTGTCTTAGATTGAGGTAGATAGAATATAATCGCTTATATATAAATATGTATTTCAAAAATGTAGCATTTAGTATGGAAAATACATATTTGGGTCTCTAAGTCTTTTCTATGAATTCTAAAATGTAGATATCATATCCATCTTACCTCCTGCTGATACATCATTCACCCTTTAATAATCAATAAACTTCACAGTGCAACCCCATCATATCTTGTTAGAAAAATGCCTCATTCCTGGTAGAATAAGGAGTGCTGAACAAGTAACTAACTTTTAATGTTTATTCCCTATTATTTTTATTCCATATTATTTTTTGATTAAAATTTTTAATTAAAAGAAGAATATTTTATGTCAAAAATTCCTTCATCAGGGGAACCATGCCTCCTCCATTCCACAAAAATCCTGTTCATTTCATGAAGTGGGTAAGAGTAGGGATCCATCCTTTCCCTGCACAAGACCACCAACCTTAATGCCGGGCACACAGCATTCCTCGGGCCAAAGAGACTTCTGCCAGACTAGACTTTCTTTTTGTGGGGGGTGGGAAAAGGGGCATGCCAGATGAAGGAATGATGTGGCTTCAAGGCTACCAACTGTAACAACTGAAACATTATCAAATGTAAAGTTTCTCTGAAAATGAGACCAAGGAGTGGACAGAGTAAGTACTATTATTCGAACCTAGAGATCCAACCACACTTTATTAAGCTTTCTGGATTTGAGACAAAAGTAATTTCCTTATTTTGCTTAAGCTAGTTTGATTTGGGTTTCTGTCACCACTTAAAGAGTACTAGGCCGGGTGTGGTGGCTCACACCTGTAATTCCAGCACTTTAGGAGGCTGAGGTGGGCGGATCACCTGAGGTCAGGAGATGGAGACCAGACTGGCCAACATGGTGAAACCCCGTCTCTACTAAAAATACAAAATAAATTAGCTGGGTATGGTGGCAGGTGCCTGTGATCCCAGCTACTCAGGAGGCTGAGGCAGGAGAATCGCTTGAACCCGGGAGGTGGAGGTTGCAGCGAGCCAAGATTGTGCCACCGCATGCCAGCCTGGGGGACAAGAGTGAGACTTCATCTCAAAAAAAAAATAAAAATAAAAATAAAAAGTACTAAAACAAAACTCTTTCTAAAATATTTATTTAGAGTTCTCATATTGAGGCTACTGAATGTAATCTACTACCTGTGTAATCTCATGGGCAACCTATAACATATATCACAATCTATTAGCTGTAACTGAAAATGGGACTAACAGTACTTATTTGGAAAAACTTTGTGAGGAATAAAGCACATAAAAAACGCCAACTGCCATGGCTGGCATTCAGCAAAAATAATTGCTCTCCGCAATTACTGTCTTTCCAAAACAACAATAGCAGCTAACGTTCAAGTGCTTCTGGTTCTAAGCAGTTTTTCCTGTATTAATTTCGAGTTAATTAGGTTAGATTACTATGAGGTAGGCACTCTAATTAGCCCTGTTTTATAAAGAAGAAAACAAAGGTGCAGAGAGGTTTTGTAACTTATCCAAGGATACGCACAGAGATTAAGGGACAGCTGAGGTATGAATTTATGCAACCCAAAAGTTCTGTGGGTTTGAAAGTTTCTGGATTTTGTTTGCTGTGAAGCTGTTAACTCTCACCTCTCCTTATGTCACTGAACCTGTCTTTAGAAAATCCTTTCAAAGTTTAGTTTTTTCACTCTTCTGTGGGTTAGGAAAGAAACTCATCAATCTTACTGCAAATTTTTTTATTATTTTTATTTATTTATTTTTACTTTAAGTTCCAGGATACATGTAGAGAATGTGTAGGTTTGTTACATAGGTATGTGTGTCATGGTGGTTTGCTGCACCTGCTGACTTATCCTCTAAGCTCCCTCCCCTCATCCCTGACCCCTCAACAGGCCCCAGTGTGTGTTGTTCCCCTCCCAAATTTAATACTGAATAAAGGAAGGAGAGTTTTAAGTGCAGATAAAAAAGACATAGTATATTTAGTACAGAAGTTTTATGATAATTTGGAGGTTTAAAAGCTTTTTCTGCTTATGTCTATTCAGAGTATAGCATTAATGTATTACACATTCATACCTGTATTATATTTGTTCATTTTTTTTCCCTACAAGAAACTCATAGTAAGTCATGGTAATAACAGCTAATATTTACTGAGTGCTTATAATGTGCCAGGCACCTGCCAAGCATAAACCTAAGTATTTCATTTACTCATAACCACCATAAGTAGTACAATTAAAGACCAGTAACAACTGAGCAAGCTGTAGTCCAAGGACACACAGGGAACAGTGGGAGAGCAGGGATGGAAACTCGTGCAGTCTGGCTCACTGTGCCCTTCATCCACTTTGTGAAGACAGGGGCCTGTCTGGTTTACTCTCTACGCTCTCCTGCCATCTAACACAGTCTAGGGCATCCAGGAAGCACTAGTGGTTAATTTTTTAAAATACCCCTAAATAGACTCGCTTGAACCTGGGAGGCAGAGGTTGTAGTGAGCCAAGATTGTGCCACTGCACTCCAGCCTGGGCAACAGAGTGAGACTGTCTCAAAAAAAAAAACAAAAACAAAAAAAAAACCCAAAAAACAAACGAACAAAAAACTCCTAAATAAAAGGAGAGCAATTTCAAGTGATATAAAAGGAGACTTTAACATAAAAGAGGAAAGTTTTGTGTAGAAGGGGAAAAACTTTTTAAGGCAGATTCGTCACAATTTATGGTAACTTCTTTAATTCTAAAAAAATCCATACTATCCCATAATACAAATTTCCCTTCCCATTTTCAATCAGGGAGATTTACATGCTCTATCCAACTAACAATTAGTCAGGGATACCAGAAGTCGAGTATCTTGGAAAATGAGGCGGAAGAGGATGATCAGAAAAATTGCAAGTCAGCCATGGAATGAATTTGTGTTTATTTCACAATTCAATTTAATCCTCTTTACCCTCACCTTTTGTAAAAAAAAAATATGAGCAATATATGCCATTATGATAGCCATTAACGGTGAAAGGATTAATTAAAACTATAATTATCTGATAAGACTAGCATACTGTCTAACCTGATCTAGAGCAGATTCATCTACTTCAACTAAAAATACTGAACATAAAAAAAGGTGTATAATGAAACAAAAATTAACCCTGCAGGTCCTGTTTCCATTACATATTTTCTAAGTAACTTCAGATATCACTCAAATAAAGAGTCATAGTACATTTTTAATTTTTATTAGTAAGAGTTCTGAGTACAAATAAATTTAATGACATTTAGAAAAAAACAATTTACCCTCTAAGGTTTGTTCATAAAGAAAACCCTGTTTTGTACATTTTAATTTCCAATTTTAATGCTTAATATCATAATGCCTTTACATCTATAACTTAACTTTAGGTTTAATTTTAATAATTCTGTCTTCTTGCATCTGGTTAAAGAGATCATCAGGTAGAAAAAAAGCAAAAAATTAGGTTAAATGACCTGAATAAAAAACTTAGCTAAAAAGTTTTAAAAGCCTTTAAAACAAACTAAAAATTAGAATACTTTTGGCAGAAAAATTAGCAGCTAGGAACAAAATTAACATTACATAATATTTTACCAAGAACTGCATTACAAATAATATTGTTTTACATATATTAGAATGATTTGCAACATATTATAGTAAATGGTTACACATATCAGATGTACAAATCTATTAAGAAAACTTTTTAATATAGTATAGCACTTTTGAGATATTCTGTTCCCAATAAATGAAAGGAACACAATTTAGAAGATGATAGGTGGTACATCTATTAATTGGAGACCTAACCAGGTAAGTCTTCATAAATAGTCATGCAACGAAATTCAATAATATGCATTTATAAGAACTCAGAATTAACACAGTAATGCCTTCCCCTCATCAGTATGTATGTCTGGCATCAGAAATCATACTACGAGCAAACGCTAGTAAATTCTTGAAAAAAACAGCTGACTTTAGAATAAGTGCCAATCTAAATTTTTTATTCTTCCCAACACACTATTTCCACCACTCTTCATTTTAACAGTGTTTTCTCCTTGGTTGGTGGTATATTACTGCTTTTTAAAGACCAATCATACCCAGCATGATCCAAGCTCATCAACTTCTCTATAAGCCAAAGTGAATTACAAACAGCCAAAAGACCAATGCGTTTAAACAGAAAACTATCCACTCTAGTCAGCAAGGCAGAAGTCCTATGTCTAAAAATCTTCTCTACAAAGTTACTTTAAAACTAGTCCTGTAAGTCCAATAGTATTACACTATTGTTGTTTCCTTGGTTTGAGGACAAGTTCAAATCTTAAAAGCATTAACATTTCCAAATTACATTACTCTGGAAATATAATTGAACTGAAGATCTTTCTGTAATATATTGGGATAAAGTTTCTTCTATTCTTTGTAGTTGGTATGTATTTCTACTATTCCTTGCATTTGGCATGAAATCTTACACCCAGTCACTGAGATACAAAGAATGTAGGAGAACAAGGAGAGGAATTACACTGTATCCAAGCTTCTGGGGGCTATGACAGACAGCAACTGTCCTTGCAAACAGAGAAATGTCTTCTGAACTCAATGTAATATTCTAACAGAATTGTAGGTAAGTGATTTCAGTAAATACTGAAATTGGGAAATGAGTAGTGTTTAGCTGTGGGTACTTTCAGAGGAATGGGAAATCCCAGTGTTGTGACTGCTATCATTCAAGAGTAGCTCAGCATTGCCATGTAAGATAGGGACCCCTGGCCCTATCCATAAAGGGAAGGGCTCCTAAGAAGCACTCGTTCTCCACCATCTGGAGCTACACTTCCCAACACAGACTTTCACCCTTAATTTTCATTCAACAATTAGTGGGAAGACTGTATTTAGCTCAATGAGAATATGATCAAAAATACATAAATAGGGATAAAAGTAGAAAAGGAATACCACCTCCAGTGCAGTTAAACTTGCCATAGCACTGGTTGAAGAGTTAAAATCTATTTCATTTTTCAAGATACATTTTTATTTTTGGTTTCATTCAAAAAAGCCTCCTTCATTCTTGGCAAACTATCTATGTGGTGTATGTATGATCTACTTCTTTTTAACTGCATTGTATTTAGCTACTAAAAATCATTCCTTAATAAGGACGTTGTAGCATTAAAAAGTGTAAATGTTTATAATAAACACTGTATTAAAATATTTCAATATTTACAATTAGGAAAAATGTATACTCCAGTCAGTCATCTCAGTGCTACTTCTTCAATTTCATCTTCTACAGAATCAACTGCTTTTACTGCTGGTTTATCATCTGCATGTTTTAATCGGTGTCTATTTGGATTAAAACTTCTTCCTTCATTGAGGAAAAAGTCTTCATCTTCATCATGTTCTCGATCTCTGCTGCCTTTATCCCCAGGGAGAAAATTTACAGGGTCAATGTCTCCTTTACCGGAAGCCACAGAATTTGGGTCACTGCTTTTGGAGGAAATGGTGCTGCTACCACTGGCACCAAATAACTGTTCCATCAAATTAGCTTTTTTCTCTTTTCTTGTAATTAAATCTACACCATCTTTACTAAGTTTTTCCATACTGTTTCTTTGGAAATCCAAAAAACTACTTTTTTGACTAAATGGATTTGACCTCTCTGATGTTTTTGCAAATGAAGGCACATAGCTACCAAATGCAAACTCATTAGGGGAGGCTGGACTTCTAACATTTCCTGAATTTTGACCTTCTCGTTTTGGAGGTGAGAAATCGATGTCTTGCAAATGATGCCCATTAAATAACCTCTCTGAGGATTCAGACAACCTGTATGTTTTGGGGCTTCTCTCTGGGGAGTGTAGTTTTGACTCAAAATCAGGTAACAATGGCAAAACAGGGTATTTTAGATTTCGAGAATCTTGGAGTTCTCTGTCAATTTCATTCAGTTTAGCAAGTAGCATTTCTCTCTTCAGTCTTTCTTCTTCCTCTCTTTGCAATTTATCCATATTCTGAATTTGATATATTTCTAGTTGGTACTTTCCAGCTTCCCACTCTGGCTTTTCTTCTCTTTCCAGTAAATATGTCTTTTCTTTTTGCTTTTTATCAAGTTCTTCTCTTTCCCATTCTGTATGAAATCAAATTTTTTTTAATGGGATTTTGTAACAGTCAGTATTTTTAAACAGGAAAACTATCAAGTTTTATAAAACAACCATATTTAATTTGGGTATAATAAGTCAAGTGAGAAAAGATATCATAAATTTCATTTTTACTTGATATTCTGGGAACAGAGAATAATATATTTAATATGCATTGCATTTAACAGAGAATAATATATTTAATATGCATTGCATTTAAGATTCTCATTTATAAAAAAAATTTGTTCTTCAAGATACTGGTAGAGAAGAAAGGTTCTTTGCCTATTTTTTTACAACTAACATAATGCTGTACGGTGGGGATGGATGGATAGATGGAGTAAAGACTCTACACTTAAAAATAAATGAAACCTTTGGATGTCATATCCTGAGATATGACTTATGTGATATTCTGACAGAAGATGCATTGACTTGAATCTAATTAAGAGAAAACTTCAGACAAACCCAAAATGAAGAACATTCTGTTTTTAAAAATGGGTCTATATTCATCAAAAATATTAATCTCTCACACACATTCTCTTTTTCCCTCTCTGTACATATATATATATGTGTGTGTGTGTGTAACAAAAATCTCCAGATTAAAGAAGACTGAAGAGATATGAAAACTAAATGCAATTCATGATCTTGTAACAGAAGGAAGAAAATGCTATCAAGAACAATATTGTATCAACTGACAAAATAATATGAATGATAGATTAATGTGTTGCGTCAAAATTAAATTTCCTGAAGTTGAAAACTACATTGGAATATGGTCTAAGATAATATCCTAGTTTGGGGAAATATACATAGAAATATTTAAAGGTATGGGCATGAGATACACAACTCACTCACAAATAGTTCTTTAGCTACTCTCGCAACTTTAACTTTGAAACTACTTCCAAATGAAAAAATTAAAAATATTAAAATATGTAAGAACACTACAAGTATAGTAACTTTAGTAAATGGCATCTGAATTCTACTTCATCAGAATTTTCTGAATGCAACTCGTCCTTATTCCCTAACCCTAAATAGCAAATGACTTGGAGTGTTCCATTTTTTTCTTTCCTTAATAACATTATTCAAATGTGTACAGCTCCTGATAAGCCATCCCCTACCACTGTATCCACCTTTCTTTGTTCTACCTAACCAATTCACACTTAAGTTGGAAGATATTAGAGGACGCTCACTCTTTCTTTCTCAAGGAATGCTGACTTGTCACATGCTTAAACAAATTCTTTTTCTTACCATCCTCCAGCTTTTCAACCTCCTGTTTTACGACATGGAGTTCTTCACCTTTAACAAAATTTTCCTCTCTTTCCACAATTGGGTTTAGAATCCCTGCTTCTCCATGCCCATCTTGCTTCTGAGACTGCAAGTCCTATTATACGTTTAAAAAAAAAAATGCAAGTTCACAAATTATAGAAAAGGGGGAGAACTAAACAATACAGATTTATCCATTAAACATGATTACCAACTAAGTTAAAACTTAATGCAGATTTTCAATTAATAAATCAGTAAATCACAAGTTACCACTCCTTGAAAAATGCTTCAAAACCACACAGGATTATTTCTATTAAAATTGTAAAGAAGCATTTATAAGACGTATTAGAACCAGTATAACTGAAGTAAAGCCAAAATGGTGCATAAAGTTCTGAAGAGACAAGTTTTAGAAGGATCCTTGCTTTGTGCATTTTCACCAAAAATCTGATTAATTCAGTTAACCAGTAATGGCTATTTGCCAACCATGCGAATCAACTAAGATGCTGTTGAACTGTAACATGAGCAGTGACAATACTATGTCCAAGCCTCCAATTAATATATTTTATAATATTCAAATCAAATAAAAATGTTATAAACTTAAAATTCCTTGTTTCCTATGGTGTGATTTTTCTTAATAAAAGTGAAATATCTATTATTAGTAAAGACTTGTCTAGTATCCATTTTCATCTTCTTCCTTTTAGCAACAGAATCCTGTGAGTTTTAGCAGGACATATAGCTGCTTAGCTGGAGACTACACTTGCTACCCTCCCTTGCAGCTAGAAAGGACTAATGGAAGGGGAGTGGAAGTACATGTGCAATTTCAGATCACATTTATAAAACCAAATGCTGCTTGCCCTCCATTTCCTCGTTGCCCTTTCCCACAGGGGTGGTAAGCCAGTTCCAACCACACACAAGAGGGCTACACTCTTCAAAACGGAAGATCAACAAGACAGGGGATGACTACCATGAAACAAAGCTGTCTACCAACTGTCAACTACCAACCGACTTCAGTCTATTACAAGAGAGAGAAATTTTTCTCTCACTTGAGCCACTCTATTCTTTTTCCAATAGCAACTTAGCTTGTACTCTAAGCTACCATTTGGTGAGGCCCTTTACAGTGGCAGAGTGGCAGGTTCAGTCTAAAGAGCTTTATAAACATCATGATTATTTCCAATTTCATGTGACTAAAAAAGAAAGAAAAAATAAAAAATAAAAAAAATTGCATGATTACTCATTGTCACAACCCTGAAAAGTAATCCACCTTAATTTTACAGATGAGAAAACTGAGGCTCCAAGAAGTCACACAATTAAAATGTTAGAATTTAACTAGAATGAGAGCTAACTCCAAGGCTCTCATACTCTTACACTCTTTTCACTATTCCAGGTTTCTATTCCTTCTGTTGAATGTATACTATAAAAAGACCAATTTTTTTAGTCCTTTTAAAGTTAATAATTACTTTGTCATTCCTCACTTTGTGATCTCAAAAAGACAAATCAACATGACTAGTTTCAATGACAGTACAAATACAGAAACACACTTAGCAGATACAACTAACTTGTATGAATTATCAAGCAAAAATAAATAAACAAGCTAGAATATACAGAGAAATCAAATCAGTCCATTCTTTCTGTTTTATACCTCAAGAAGAGAGCTCAGGGTCCCTGGGAAACTTATAAGGTATAAACATATACCATTGTATGAAATATGCTAGGTTGCCGATATGTTGTTTTCTTTGGAGTTTAAGCTGTAAACATTAAAGATGAAACTCTCTTAGAGAAAGAGACTTTCCAGTGATTCAGAATGGAGGTCCTTTTAAATGAAAGTCCAACAGAGACCCCCTGAATTCCACTCTAATTTGACCAGGATAAGATCAGATTCCATTGCAATTATTTTGTTCATTATTCAGTCAGTTACCATGAAAAATTCTCCTATATAGGAGACCAAAAATAAAATTAAACCTAGTCAAATTCTAAGAAATCATTTGAAAACTACTATTACTTGCTACTAAACATAAAAGTACTGAGGGTTTTCCAAGACTATCTCGGTACATAAGAGAAACTTAGAAGGCAAATTCTTCTCTTCTGCCCCCAACCCAGGAGGCACAATCCATCATTCTGAAGCACCTGAAATATGTGATGTAAACTAAAAGAGTCAAGCCAAAAGAATTTTATAAAATACACAATACCTCTTTCCGTTCAAAAAGGCTAGTTGCATATTCACATAGACATAGTACTTAGCTTCATTACTGAAATTTTAAAATGTTTGATATTGTGTTTTTAGGAATAACTTCATACTGAATTTGGTACATAATAATACTGCTAAACTCACCAAAGTAAGATGTTCTGGTTCTTCCCATTTGTTTTCATAACACATAATTGTTTCTGGTGTTAAAGGATATTCTTCTGGCTTGAAGTCTTCCGTCGTTTGTACTCCTTTTGTACACAGGTCTGCAAAATCACTCTGGCATGCAGCTACAATGAAAATTATTTTAAAAATATTATTACAATGAATAATGCCAAAATATATGGAATTCAACTGGCATGTATATATACACACACGCATATATATATGTGTGTGTGTATATATACATGTACATTTAAACACACCACTTCATTTAAATGGTGAATATATATATTCACTTATATATATTCATTATATAAATATAATGTATGTTTTGCTCAGCTTAATACTCACTATTACTATTTTTGTTTCTAGGATTTACTGGCAATTGTATGATTTGGGGAGAATTCTGACTACAAATGCTTTAAGTTTCACAATGTTTATATTTTAAAATCTTGCAATTCACATAACAGGGAAATTACAGTTTTGTTAAAAAAGAAAGTAAAACTACAAATAACAATACAAAGTATTTGTAGGTGAAACCAACTGACATCTGAGATTTACTTTAAAATATTCTAGAGAAAAGTAGAAAAAAATAGATGAAATAAAACTGGTAAAAAGTATAACTGTTAAAGCTACATGATACATAAATGAAAGTGCATCATATTACTCTCTACTTTGGGGTATATTTGTATATTTTCAAAAACATTAAAAAAATTATAATAAGGAAATTTCAAAAAGTTATGTAAAACAATTTTAACAGCCTCTCTTCAGGGGAAAAAAACAGAGAAAACTGAAAAGAATTTCTGAAAACTGTCGGAAATTTAAATTGCAAAAAATACATTTATTTTAAATATATTTCAATGAGGTTCTTTTCCTTCCCTTCTATTTCAGAATTATTGTACTATCACTAAATAATAGCAATAATATCAGTTTGTGAACAATCATAGTTACTATACCATTTTTTCTTAATGCAAGTTCTTTTTCTTTATTTGGAGAGGACTTTGGCAGACGATTAGAATATATATTTTTTATATCCAGTTCTCTCTCCTTTTCCTGAAAACAAACACAACATAATTAAGGAAGTAGAGTCTCAGTTTAAAACAAACCAAAACCCCTCACTTTGTCATCTGGTATTTTCTTACCATATTGAAAGATACCTGGTTCAGCTTCCTTCTGTAACTATCAAACTATAGAAAAAAAGTCTCTAGTATACTGAGGTTAGGATAGAGCAATAATTTTCCCGAAAACGTCTAATATGTCCTGGAAATTTAAAAAATTAAGGCAAATTTCATTTTTTACCCATTCTTACCTGATATAGCTAGTATTGTCTTAACTGAGACACAGAGACAAATAATTTAGTTAGTATCTCTCAAATGTAAGTTCTGAAATATTGATGAGTTAAAAATTAGACCACTCTTTTAAACACAGGCATACTTGGCCATTTTGGGGCTGTGGCTTTTTCTGAGAATTTGATTAACAAAAAGAAAACATAAGATAATGTAAAATTTTGCACTATTTTACACAAAATTTTGTGCAAAATTTCATTCTACCTAGAACTCATTGATGACTTCAACGTAGAATGAAAAATGCCTGTTTTAACAAAATTAAATAATTTGAATACTTTCTCTAAACACTGTGAAAACAAAGGGCATCATTTGAAACAACTTCAAAAATAATAAATCATTGGGTGATCTGAGGAAAAACACTGCATTCAACCATGCAACACAGTGAAGCTCTAGTTCCCAAAATTTTCTTCTATGATTTTACAATTTACTTCAGTTACATCATTTCTATTGGTGTATTCAGTGTTTCACCTTTTTTGTTTTTGTTTTTAATTTCACTTTGTTATAGTGATTATACCAAAAACCTTTTCTAAGTACTAAAGACAATATCAGAATTTTGTAAATTATATTGTACCAACTTACAAATATGAATAGTAATGTTTAGTGTTTTAAAATATTTAATTTTCATCTAATACACATTATGGACAACATAACGCAATTTAAAATATTTACCTTTAATTTGTGATATAGTCGCTGTATCTCCTTTTGAAGAACTTTATTTTCATCATAAGCCTCATATGCCCTTTTCCTTTCAGCAAGCAACTGTCGTTGGAAACTGTTAGTACTCAGCTCAAGGTTTTTTGATAGTTCCTATATGTATAAATACATAAAAAGCACTCCTTTAAAAAAAATCCAACAATAAAACATAACACATAGCAGTGTCAAAATGATGTTTTTAGTGGTATTGTCCAAGACCTACAAATCAGACTGGGCATAGCATTCATGTACGTAACCTAGGAAACAGATTTACCAACAATTTAGTAAGGTATCAAGCTTATTATTCCTATCTGTTGTTCATAGTAATTTGTAAATAAATTCTTAAGGATAGGATGGTGGCTCATGCCTATAATCCTGCGCTTTGAGAGGCATAGGAGGGAGGAGCACTTGAGACCAGCCTAGACAACAAAGCAAGAGCCCATCTCTATGAGAGTTTAAAAATTAGCTGGGCATGGTGGTGCATGCCTGTAGTCCCGGCTACTCAGGAGGCTGAGGTGGGAAGATCACTGGAGCCTGGAAGTTTGTGCCAACGAACTGAAGCCTTGGTGACAGAACAAGACTATCTTAAAACAAAACAAAACAAAACAAACAAAAAAAAAAAACCTTAAGCACACACACATTGCTTGGGCAAATAATAAGATACCAAGACAGATAAAATTACACAGCACTACCAAAGCTGCAGAGAGTATCTACAGTAAAACATCTCTAGATAAAAACAACAGCCATTTCCATCCATGGTCTTCAAACATGTTCCATCAAGTTTATAAAATAATTTATGTTAAAATATTTTCTTTTAAAATAACTTAAGTTGTCAAGACACCATTTCTAATTTGTGGGTTTTTTTAAAGCATCTTATAGATAGATAGATAGATAGATAACAAATAAATGTTTATTATAAGTATAAATAAGATCACAAAGAAAAACAGAAAATAAAAAGCAGTTACAATCTCATTACGTTGTGATAATCACTGCCAACATTTCGACGTATATAATTTGAGACTTTTATGTATCTTTCTCAGTAAATAATACCATAAATCCCTAAGTCAATCTACTGTAATAACACAATCTTTTTTCAATGGAATAGTATTGTACTTTACAGATTATCATAACTTAACTAAATTCTGCTGTTCAATATTAGGTTGCTCCAATTTTTCCTAGAGTGAACATCCTAATATATCTAACTTTAATCATTTATTATTTCCTCAGTGTAAATGTTAAGAAATAAAATGTCTTAGACTTTATCTAAATCAAGAACTCCTGACCTTTGAAAGGTCCCATTAAGCAAATGAAAAGATAACCCACAGACTAGGGAAAATATGTGCAAATCCCCTACCTGCTAAAGCAGGGGTGCCCAACCCCTGGGCTACAGAATGCTACTGGCCTGTGGCCCGGTAGGTACCGGGCTTGCACAGCAGGAGGTGAGTGGCAGTGAGCCAGCGCGTGCATTACCGCCTGAGCTCTGCATCCTGCCAGATCAGCAGCAGCATTAGATTCTCACAGGAGCACAAACCCTATATTGTGAACTGTGCCCGCGAGGGTTCTAAGTTGTGTTCTCCTTATGAGAATCTAATGCTTGATCATCTGAGTTGGAACAGTTTCAGCCTGAAACCATCCCCCTCAACCCCGTCCATGGAAAAACTGTCTTCCATGAAATCAGTCCCTGGTACCAAAAAGGTTGGGGACCACTGTGCTAAAGGACTTGTATGAAGAAATGTATAGAGTTATCCCTCTGTGTCTGTAGGAGATTGGTTCCAGGACTCCTGTGTACCAAAATCCAGGCATAGTCAGGTCTTGCAGTCAGTCCTGTGGAACCTGAGTATATAAAAAGTCGGGCCAGGCGCAGTGGCTCATGTCTGTTATCCCAGCACTCTGGGAGGCCGAGGCAGCGGGATCACAAGGCCAAGAGATCGACCATCCTGGCTAACACGGTGAAACCCCGTCTCTACTAAAAATACAAAAAATTAGCCTGTGTGGTGGCATGTGCCTGTAGTCCCAGGCACTCGGGAGGCTGAGGCAGGAGAATCACTTGAACCTGGGAGGCAGAGGTTGCAGTGAGCCAAGATCATGCCACTGCACTCCAGCCTGGGCAACAAGAGCAAGACTTCATCTCAAAAAAAAAAAAGTCAGTCCTCCACATCCAAAGGTTTCACACACTACAAATACTTTTATTTCTACATTTGGTTGTGGAATGTGGAACCTGTGGATATGGTAGGCCGACTGTGTTTATTGATAAAAAAAAATTTGCATAAGTAGACCCACTCAGTTCAAACCCATGTTGTTCAATGGTCAACTGTATATTACATCTAAACATCTATATCTGTCCCACAAAATTCAGTAACATGAAACCAAACAGCTCAGCAAAAAATGGAGGAAGTATGTAAACAGATAATTCACCAAAAAGATATCCAGAGATAAATAGGCACATAGAACAATGCTTCAATATCGTAACTTATAAAGGAAATACAAATTAAAGCCACAATAAAACAATGCTATTTATCTATCAGAATATCTAAAACTGGAAAAACTGAGCATACAAAATGGCTAGGATGAGTAGCAACCGGAACTCTCATACACTTTTGTTTTGGGAATGTACAATGGTACAACCATTTTGGAAAACAGTTGGGCAGTAAAACATACATCTACTATATATAACACAGTCATTCCACACCTAGGTCTTTACACAGGAGAAAAAGAAGCCAGTGTCTATACAAAGACTTCTGCATGAATGTTCACAGCAGCTTTATTTGTAATAGTTAAAAACTGGAAATAATCCAAATGTCCATCAATGGGATGGACTAATGGATAAACAAAATGTCATATATATGTATATAATAAGGGTAATCACCACTTAGCAATAAAAAAGAATGAACAATTGATACTTCCAACAACATTTTTGAAACTCAAAACAGTTTTGCTAAAGAAACCAGGAATAAAATAATATATACTATATGACTCCACGTATATAAAATTCTTAAAATGCCAAGTAATTTATAGAGACAAAAAGTAGATTAGCTGAGGAGTAGTGGGCAGGGATTGATAAAAGGGAGGGAGTACAAAAAGGCATTAAAATTTGTTATAGATAATAAAAAACAGTAAAAACAAGTGTATCAGTTTTGAAAAATGAAGCTTCTGGGTTGATAGACATTTGTACAATTTTAAGGTTTTGAAAAGCATTACCAAAATGCCCTTAGAAAAGGTTGTAACAGTTTACATTCTCTTTGAAAGTCTAATAGCCTTTATTTCACTAGATACTTATAGTAACAGGATACTGTAATTCTTTAATCCATCAGATTGGCCTAAAGAAGGATACAATTGTTTTAATTTGTATTTGTTTGATGACTACTAAAGTTAATTTTCATCTTTATTGTCTATCCATATTCTTCATGAAACGTTTTTGTAATGTAATAAGAATTTAAAAAATAATGACAAAATGAGGAAAAAGCAAACTGATGAACAAAAGCAGCAAAAAAGTTAAGAATTTTCCAGAATTGAAGATATAATGAGAGATGAAGTTGGAAAGAGCATCATGATAAAGACTGGATCAGAAAAGAATCATCAATGGATGCTAAATTTTGATGAGGAATAAGATATTTAAATATTCTTAAGGCAGCTCCACATGGACAGATTATTGATTTCACTATAAGAGGAGGAACAGTTAATTGGTAAATGTTAGAGAAGTTGAGCAGCACTTTGGCTAGGAGATCAAAATTAACATCCCTAGTGAAGGTCAGGAGACATCATGTGGCTCCAGATGTGATATCTTAAGAAGGAAAATAATATTACCTATTCAGTATTCTCACCAAAAACACAAAAACCCCAGTCTATACACAATGAAACATAAGAGAAATACAAAGTTAAGGATATTCTATTAAATGAAAAGGGGTAGGGAGCTGTATGCTTCAACAAATGTGAATGTCATAAATAAAAAAACAACAGTATGTGGAAATGTTCCAGATAAAAGAAGGCTGGAAAACTGGACAATTCAGTATAATACTTGACCCTAGACTGGGTCCTACTGGAGAACAGAAAGTACTATAAAAGATATGATGAAGGCTGGATGTGGTGGCCCACACCTGTAATCCCAACACTTTGGGAGGGTGAGGTGGGCAGATCACGAGGTCAGGAGTTTGAGACCAGCCTGACGAACATGGTGAAACCCCATCTCTACTAAAAATACAAAAATTAGCTGGGTGTGGTGGTGTGCACCCGCAATCCCAGCTACTCAGGAGGCCGAGGCAGGAGAATCGCTTGAACCCAGGAGGCGGAGGTTGCAGTGAGCCAAGATCGTGCCACTGCACTCCAGCGTGGGTGACAGAGCAAGACTCTGTCTCAAAAAAAAAAAAAAAAAAAAAAAAGGATATGATTAAGTCAACTGAAAAAAATTGTGCTACAGACAGTAGATTAGAGAAAATTATTATATAAGTATGAATCACAGTATAACCATAATTTTACTATGGTTCTATAAGAGCATAATCCCTATTCTTAAAAAATACATGCTGATGTATTTAGGGGCATGATGTATCCAAGTTACCCTCAAATAGTTAAAAAAAAAATTGTGTATATATGCATATAACAGAGAGACCACATGAGAGAGCATGCATGCATATTATAAGACAAATGGGATAAAACGTTAACAACAGACGAATCTGGGTAAACTGTATAGGAGTGTTCTTTGTACTGTTTTCAGATTTGCAACTCTCTGTAAGCTTGAAATTATTTCCATATAAAATATTAATTTAAGAAAATCCTATCCCCCCTAAATATTTTGGAGCAAAACAGGAAACCATTGAACTCAATAAGAATGCGTTAAAAAAAAAAAAATACCAGGGCTAAAAAATACTCAAGTTCCAAATGATAATAACTGTCAACCTGGAATCCAGCAAGATCCAGTGAAATTATCACTGAAGAGTAAAGATAAAATATATTCAGACAAATACTAAACAGTGTTGCCAGTCAGAAGCTCTCACTTATATATATATTTCAGTTAAGAAAGGAAGTGAACCCTGAAGGAACAATAATGAAGAATGGTGACATGCAAGAAATAATGGTAAACTAATAAATACTATTAAAATACTAAGAAGAAATTTTTTTTA